CTAGCAAAAAATAATCTTACCTAAAATAAGTTTTCTTTTATCTCACGCCCTCTTGACTTAAGTTGTGCGTTTGCTTTCCTCACTTCTGTTTCTCTTCTCGTGCACTCAGCTGAACATCCTATCAGAGATTTTAGTCACTGACAGGCTCTGCTGCCTCCAATGCCACCTCAACGTGCTGAATCGACAGAAAAACAAGTACCAACAGTATGTGACACAGTGCAAAAACTAGGGCAATGGATGCTCACCAACATCCCAACACTGATCAATGGCAGATCGTCTGCTTGGTATGTAAGGGGCCCTAAGCCTTACCTTCACAATGCAATTCTGTTTGCCACGGGGTATGATCTCCCAGGAAAATGAACCCTCAATTTACGGCACAAAGGAAATGCATAATAAAAAGGTAATAAAAAATAACACAGAGGCTCTGTAGTCTGAACCAAAATGACAAACTCTTGATTACCTCCCACACTGTCAACAGCAAGCACTACAGCTTCACTCCCTCCGTTACCTTTCAAAATAAAATAAGGACGTCCCAATCCAATCTCAAAGATCAGTATCTAGGCAGATCGAGGCATTTTTAACTGATGAGGATAGGCAATACTGAGCTATATATAGCCCGATCCGATCCTTTGTGTTACGGCAGCCATTACACAGGTGTTTTTTACTCAAGAAGCTTTCATGCACAGCAACGTATCAAGTGCAGCCGTCAGTAACTCTGCAACTCTCCACTGTCTATCTCTCCTCCACACCGCTGACCTCTGTGTCTGTTTAAGAGGGAGGGCCGAGCCCTGCCTACGGCCACCACACGTCATAAGCGACAACAAAACACAGTAAAATCTTGTTAATATATGTAATTCACCCAATTCATCTGCACTCTTTTCATTTCAGCTCAGTGTGAGAGTGTCTTGTGGTGTGGGTTACATGGTGCATGCTTCACCACGGACACTCAGGACTCTACTGCAAGTGTAACAAAGGCTCCTTGAGCAAACGGCCAATAACAGTAAATTATTAATGTAATTCACGCATCCACGTAGTGCACAGACCATGAAAATAAACACTGAACAGAATACAGTTCATTCAGGTAACACAGGAAAAGGCTGCATCAAAGCAACCAACACTGGAGAATACTCTCTTAAAGGGACAGAGTAGGGATAAAGGGATTTGTTATTTTATAGCCTACTTTATTATTTTGTAAACACAAAACAAAAACAATAACTGTTGCAGCTGTATTATTAGAGGAAAATAGAAATATCGGATTGGGACTTGGCATCGGGATCTGGGCCAATAAATCTTGATTAGGCCAGCCCCCCAATGAAAGCCTTTTACATAAACGCTGCGTCACTGCTAACCAGAGGGAACTTAAATTCACTCTGAGCATTTTGCTAAGAGGTAACTCCTCAACAAAATAGCAGACGATGTAACAACCGGAGTAACTGTGGAAACCTGACAAAGAAAAAGAGCCCTGCTGACGGAGGAGGCAAAGAAGGCAAAGAGGGAGAGAGAACTAAGGTAAAAAAAAAGAGTGAACTTGGTGAAGAGAGTGCTCCAAACTGACATTCAGCTGGCTATTTCACTACGTTGCAAAACCTGCCTACGTATTAATCCTACACTGCCTTTATCATAGATATTCATATTAAATCAGGATTCTTAGGGCTGTTCCTTGCTTTGGACAGTAGCCATCCTGCTTGGCTCTGATGAAAACGGAAAACAATCTGCCTGTCTATGCGACAGAGGCGCCAACAATAATACCACTTGGAAACAATGGGGGGGGGGGGGGGAGTAAAGTTGTGCGATTCCACTTGCAGGATTATACCATGACGAGCCACACAGATAAACAGAGCGCTGTACAGTAGCAAATCTAAGCAGACTTTGCCACAGGAAGTATTCGACCTGGCATGATAATGGAAGAGGACAACACTGTCAAAAACACCATGGCATTTGCACGCTCAAAAACACTTATATATACAGTATACTCACACACAAACCAATGCAACAATCTCTATGAGTACATCACTCACATTACGGCATGGCCACAGTGCAGCGTGATACATTGGCGTGAAATATTTTACACCGGCTCCTGTGCTGCATTATAAAACACTTCAAAGCAGCATCTGTGCCTAGAGCAGATCTGCCACCACATCCGTCTTCTCATATAATAATCACTGTCCCTAATGAATATACTGAGGTTAATTCTGTAAGGTTTGAATGTTACTATAGGGCAATGGTCAGTGTGGAGGAGGAAGATAGAGAGGGCAGCAGCTTAAAGGAGTAGAATACACAGAGGGAAATACGGCAGGAGACTGCTAATTTACTAACAGAGTCTGCCAAATCCCAGGAACCTAAACTCTGAGACTCCAAGGATTTAATCTTCTCAGATAATGGCTAAATTATGGCTAAAATAAATACACCATAGCAAACATTTTATCCTGCTTTAATTACATTGATTATGGAAGCCCATTTCTGTCATTATGATAAACATCTGTAAGTCATTATGATAATGATTTAGTATCTCCAAGTCATTTGGAGATACTAAATCTTTTTTTCAATGCTAAGTCATTATTTTGAAAATTAGGTCATTATTTATTAAATATTGTCATTATTTTGAAATGGTTTCTCATTATTTCAAGATTTTCAGTCATTATTTTAGAAGTTTCTTAATATTTCTGAAATAATGAATCATTATTTTGTGATACTAAATCATTATTTAGAGATATAAGTCATTATTTCTGAAACACTAAATCATTATTTTCAAAAAAGGTTTGTCATTTTGAGATACTAAGTCATTATTTCAATATAATAAATTATTTTAAGACATGTTCTCATTATTTTGAAACAGTTTCTTATTATTTCAAGATAGAAGATACCATTTTCTGAGAAAGTTTCTTAGTATTGCAATACTAAGACATTATATTAAAATACTAAGACATTATTTTTAGATACTGAGTCATTATTTTGAAATACTAGGTCATTATTTTGACAGTTTCTTAAAGGCGCTGTATGTAAGAATGTGGCCAAAACGGTTACTGCACTCAAATTCAAAATACTGCCGCGAGTCGTGTCCGCCCCCCCTCCTCTACAGATTCGAGGTTGCTGGACAGTGGCACGCTGGAGACTGATTTGTTTGCCCATGGGCGGCTGCCGTGGCAGGGCCATGTCGCCGCGTCCTTGATCTTCGGTTTTCCAGTGGACCGTTCGAGCAAGTCTGGCTTCTCTGCTGCTAACGCTGCTGCCGGGATACAGCTGAGGAGATTGCTAATGCTATGTACCGGGACACTGCTAATGCTGCTTGCCGTGCTGCTATAGCTCAGTCGTAACTGTAACTGATGCTGAGACTCTACTGACTGTGTGACTGGTAGACAGCGGTGGGTGGCGCAACAGGCCAAAACACAAATTCAATACATAAACATGATTTGCGGACCGTAATTTTTTTTTTTAAATGCGAATATTCTGGCTGTACTATTGTTGTCAGTGAGATTAGTATGTTATATGAACATTATTCCTTAGTCTCTGTGACATATTAGGATGATTTTACGACTTTGCTTTAGATTTCTTACATATAACTCCTTTAATATTTTGCAATACGAAATCATTATTTTAAGATATGAAATCATTATTTAGAGATATGAGTCTTTATTTTAAGATACTAAGTCATTATTTTGACACACTGATCCATCAATTTACATCCGCTTATCTGGGGCCAGGTTTTGGGGGGCAGCAGGCCAAACAAAGCACCCCAGACGTCCCTCTCCCCAGCAACACTTTCCAGCTCCTCCTGGGGGACCCCGAGGTGTTCCCAGGTCAGATGAGATATGTAATCCCTCCAGCGTGTTCTGGGTCTGCCCCGGGGCCTCGTACCAGTGGGACGTGCCTGAAAAACCTCCAGCCTGAGGCATGCTGATCAGATGCCTGAACCACCTCAACTGACCCCTTTCGACGCAAAGGAGCAGCGGCTCTACTCTGAGCTCCCACCAGATGTCCGAGCTCCTTACCCTATCTCTAAGGCTGAGTCCTGCCGCCCCACAGAGGAAACTCATTTCAACTGCTTGTATCTGCGACCTCATTCTTTCAGTCACTACCCAGAGCTCATGACCAAAGGCGAGGGTTGGGACGTAGATGGACCAGTAAATCGAAAGCTTCGCCTTCCAGCTCATCTCCGTCTTCACCACGATGGACCGGCGCAGTGCCTGCACCACTGCAGAAGCCGCACCAAACTGCCAATCAATCTCACGCTGCATTCTACCCTCACTAATGAACAAGACCCTGAGATACTTCAGTTCCCTAGCTTGAGGCAGTAACTCTTCCCCAATCTGGAGAGGGTAATGCACCGGTTTCCGGCAAAGAACCATGGCCTCAGATTTGGAGGGGCTGACTCCTGACCGTCATATTTTGAGACAGATTCTCGTTATTTAAAGATACCCTTACTATTATTTAAAGTTTCTTAATATTTTGGAATACTGTGTCATTTTTTAGAGAGCGTTTCTCAGTATTCCAATACTAAGACAATATTTCAAGATACTAAGACATTATTTAATGTCATTATTTTGAGATATTGAGTCATTATTTAGAAATATTAGGTCATTTTTTGGGAGATACTAAGTAATTATTTTGGGATACTTAGTCACAATTTTGAAATATTAGGTCAAACTTTTGAAATATTAAATCATTATTTTGAAATGCTATATCATTACCTCAAGAAACTTTCTCATTCTAATGACTTACAGGATCTTTTGTTTCATCACATCGTCAGAAATGGGTTTCCACGGTATTTAGAGTTTTGAAAACCTCTTAAGCAAGAGATTATTGGGAATTAAATTTACAACGTAAGTACCACTTATATAAAACAGAGGATGGGGAAATGGCAAGACTCTGGCAGGTATCTCATAACCACATCGTGTTGAGAGAGAAAGGAACTGCAGCCCGATGCTAAACAGGGGGAGCCGGGGGGGATTTGTGGAGAGGGAGGGAACTGAAAAAAGTAGGGAGTATGGTGGAGGTGGTACCTGACTCCCTGCAGGGCCTCGAGGTCTGATGAAAGCTTTGCACTGCGGTCCTGCTCCTCCTGCAGCTGCCTCCTGAGTGTACGGAGCTCCTGCTGAGCCTCCACCTTGATGTCATTGGCAACCACCACTGCGGTCTGGAGGTCCGCCTGGAACCGACGCCACTCCTCTTTTTCATCCTATAGACACAAACATATGGACATACTCTATAGATGCACATAAAGGTATATAGATACAGACAGAAATCATCAACTGACACAAGAACTGTTTGTGAACCCTTTGGATTTAATTGGATGTCTAACAATAGATAAATCTGATAAAACAAATGATGCACAAACAATTTTACTTTCATGTGTATTTATTTCTGGATGGGAAAAACTACATGAACCTTTAGGATAATGACCATGTCCCCCAAAAATTCCAAGCACAGCCACTGTCAATTTCCATACTTGAACCTGCGACTTCCTAGTTACTTTTATTTCAGATCCTTCTTTTAAAAAACAAACCACAGCACCACAGACGTTACAAAAGGAGCTTTCTTACCTTCATTTGTCTACTCATGACCTTCAGCTGTCGGTCTGCGTCAGCTTTCTGCTCCTCCAGCTTTTTGACAAGATCTGCAATGACAAAATTAAAGTTTTAGAGAACCTCAGGTCTAACTGTAGGCTCGGGAAGAATCACATTAATTAAACAGCATTAACAGGATGCAAAACCACCAGCCACAACTCGGGGGCTGCAGAGACTAAAACAAGTAAGTCTGCAACTGCAGTACAAAAGCTTCAGACTGCATTTCAGTCATTACAAACCGCTCTGCTGAGTTTAAAATTGATTTTAAACGCTCAGAAAACAAGTTTATGGTCTTCTCAAAAGCTCGCTCACAGTTGCTTGATGATTTTAGCATCTTCACCTCTGACGGTAAATTCACTGAAAGAGCGTCCTCATATAATACTGGGTTTATGGATAGATGACAAGCTTTCATTTAATGTACGTATTGCTGCTCTAGTTGGGAAGCTTACAGTGAAGATTGGCTTTTATATAAGAAATTACTCTTGATTTACTTTCACTTGTGGAAGCTACTTTTCTGTCTGTGACTGATTACAGTGACATATTGTATATGCATGCAACCTCCTCTATTTTACATAGCCTTGACTCAGTGTACCATGCATCTCTACATTTTATTACAAACACAACGTCCCTCACTCATCACTGCATTCTTTGTGATTTGGTGGGTTGGACGGCAATGACCATTCGCAGACAACAGCACTGGTATATTTTATCTATAAAGCAATATTGGGTAGACTTCTAGCCAACCTCTGCACCCTGCTGTGTGTCAGCTACACTCCTCCAGGTGGTTGCTTTTTAATGTACCCCGGGTTTAAACAGATCTGGGGAAATCTGTATTTTCCTACTCTGCACTGTGGGCATGAAGCATTCTCCAAAAATACCTAAAATTAGAAACTCTTATATCCATTGATGAATTTAAGGGCATCGTAAAAAGAATGTAGTGATAGAGACATGTGCTTGTTTTTCTTGAGGAGGATACAACAGCAACTGATCTACGGTTACTTCTGGACATTATTAGATCTTTCTAGAAATATTTATCATCACTGCAGAAATATTAGTATCAGAGCTATCTCATCTGCCATGTTTCATTAGAGCCTATGGAAACATAGTGTATCCAGCCACATACTGTTTAACAGTTGCCAACGGCACTAATGGTAAGTCAGAGACAGATGTGTTACAATACGCTCCCATTTTGCATCTGATTCTCACTGGATTGCCAGTTTGTAAGCTTCAAAAGTTTCCACCTCCTTACCCTCCGATCCACCTTAAATCCCACCGTCATGAAATGTTATAATATTCAGTTATTGTTGGAACTGTTTAAAGAGGTATAGGTTTTACGTTATTGTCATTTTGGAGGTGTTTCTAACACTCTGTCTGCCTCAATTTTATAGATGAGGACACATTAAATATTAGACACCACTGACTGCAGGTGAAAAGACTCCACAGAGGGCTGAACAGCCAGCAAAAAGAAGAACATACTCTCCATGTCCAGGACGGCTTGATTGGTGTGGCAGTTGACGGCCCTCTGCTGCTCCACCTGGTCCTCCAGTTCGAAGATGGTCTCCTTCAGCTCCTTCACCTGGTTCTCAGTGTGAATCGCGGCCTCCTCCAGTGAAGTCACCCGGCTGCTGAGCTCCTGCTCCCTCCTCTCAGCCCGCTCCTGAACCTGCTGGCATTTGGCCTCCGTCTGTATATATGGATGAATTTGTGACATTACAATGTGTTTAATACAGTCATAGGCTAAAACAAAAAAGTGTTGAGGTGCTCCACATAATCTTGATGGTGTTTTCTATGGAATGCCATACAAGTCATTATTGAATGAATACATACATAAATACATGTGCCAATGAAATAAATAAATGTTGCCATGAAATAAATTGTTAAATAAATAAATTAGACAATAAATATAAAAAGATTTGTCCAAAGAAGAAACAGAAATAAAAACAGCTGTGAAATAAATGTGAACCTAAAATAAAAAGAAATAGAAAAGAAATAAAAGTCCCCCGAAATAAATAAAAGTAGTCCTTTGAAAAACATATTTTTTTAAAGGGAGACACTTCGACTGAATAGGGTGAAACCTTTTATTTATTTATTAAACTATATTTTTTATATGTATGTTTATTTATATATTTATTGCCTCAGTTAATTATTCCAGGTTTATTTCATAGGCGTATTTATTTATTTAATTCATTTATCAATATTGACTTAAATGGCATACTTTTCACACCACTGTCTTTCAAAAGATTAGATGAATGATACTCTCCACAAAATAAAGCTGTATCAAGGCAATATTTTTGAGTCTAAAGCAGACTTAAATAAGTTATGATACGGTGCTGTTTGGTCTGCTGAAAACAAACTCTATTTACTATCAAGCAGCAAAAAGAAAAAGTTAACATAGCGAGTCTAATTAGTCTTCATTCGTTCATCTTTTTTAATGACTACTGCTCATTAGTGCACAGAACACATTTCAACCATAACTTCCACATCTTTCACTTAAAGGGATAGTTTGGATTTTTTTTAAGTAAGGTTGTATGAGGTAGTTATTCATAGTCAGTGTATTACTTACAGTAGATGGTGGTCAACAAGGCCCCAGTTTTGAGAAGCAGGTAGGAGTACTGCCATGGAAGCTAAGCAATGTACTGCTGTGGACGGGAGCATCAGCATAATGTACCTTAAAAACATAAACCTAACAAAAAATGAAATGGTGCTAAGCAAACACTGTCTTTGTTGGTTAGTTTTTTGCCACCTAAAAAAATCAATGTCAGATAAGCATACGCTATATTGAGAATATTTTCATCGCTTTACCTTGCTGCAGACAACCTTTCTGACAGGCAACTGAAGCTGTTACATCACTCTCTTCAATGCCACCAGATGCTTTGACAAAAGCAGTAATTTTACTTTGCAGAACACAGGAGCTGCTGGTCCACTGTTGCCTCAGTCAGTTAGTAAGTTTGTGTTATTGTGTGACTGTTTTAAGGGGTTCGTCAAATTAAGCAAAATCACACAATAACATAAACAAATGAACTGATCAAGGCAGCGGCAGACCAGCAACTCCAGTGTTCTGCAAGGTAAAATTACTGTTTTTGTCAATGGAGTCTGGCAGCTTTTTAGAGATCATAGATACCAGTTACATCTCTCTGTCAGACAGCAAGATAAAGCAGGGAAAATATTCTGATATTGATTTTTTTTAGGTGGCTAAAATATGTTGTGCTGCTGTCCCTATCCACAGCAGTACATTGCTTAGCTTCCGTGGCAGTACTCCTGCCTGCTTCTCCAAACTAGGGCCATGTTGACCGCCATCTACTGTGGGTAATACACTGACTATGCATAAATACCTCATATAACCCCACTTCAAAACATTTGAACTACCCCATTAATTAAGGCTGGTTTTCAAGTATGATAAAAGTCACTTAGAAATAAGGGTTAATGTAAACATTTAAGTGGGTTGTGAATAGTTATAAATGGCAGTAATGCAGAGTCCATGTAATGCTGTTTAGATAAGAGCTTAACTATGTCTGACAATGACAACATTGTCGTGACATGCAAGGTGACAGTGACTCATGGAAATAAGAGTTCAGTCAGGATTCGATCTGACTGCATCAATGTGTCCATTGCTCCAACTATTGAACTACACTCAAGTTGAAGTCAGTGTACCATGATAGTTGCTGGCATCCTGAGAAATGGCACCGCGAAGCAGCTCTCTGTGAGCATACTAAAACAAGTGAGTGATGTAGTTATGCAGGACCGTCTCCTGCTGACACCATATGGCTCTAATAGATTAGGATGTTCGTGACTGAAGTTATGGCGTGGCCTCACCCTCACACCCATGTGGCAGAAAACAGGAGTGTGACTCAGAGGGTCAAACACTGGAGGACCACCCTACTGTTGGCACTACAGTCACTGTCCAAAAATGACGACATCACTGAGCTGATGGTGACACGCCTCAATTTGGAGTCAACAACCACCTACATGACCCCAAACCCACACAGCCACAGCCTTTCTGGTGTTTGTGGTGTTGAAGGGGAAAACCAAAGCGACTTGTGAGAATCATATGAAAACTATTTGAGTGAACATGAGTTCATGTGCTGCGGTGGTGAAGAAAAGGATTCAGTACCAGCTGTAAAGCCTGTTTAATGGTCATGTTTGGGCCATTTTGGAAACTCTGTGCCCTAATGTTCACATTCAGTAAGTGACTGAGCCAAGAATGATTAAAAATGTTATGGCGGCCCATTTGACTCTCATTTTTTAGTCATTAGCAATCGCTAGACTGATGATACGGCTATTACTAAACACATAACTGTTGTGATTTGTTCTCTTTCTAATCTATTCCTGAAGATGACGGCACTGCAAGCACAGAATCTGAACATAAATCAATGAGCTGCTTTTTAACAAGTGAAATGCTGGCTTTGCTTTTTCATATTTTACAGTAAAAGCAAATTTTTCTTTGGGGAATTCCTGAAAGTTTTGTCAGACACAAGTGCTGCCCTCACTAACATAACAGAAAGTTTGTTGGAACAGTGAGTCACATATAATTCAAATACTGCATTGTACACACACCACTTAGCACAACACAATGGAAGCAACCAGCTGGAAAAAGTTTGAACAGTGCAGACATTCTCTAACCAGCAGAGAGTTGTCCAGTTTTAAATAGGCTCATTGGAATCTCTGACGACAACATTTGTCTCCAGATATCATCTCCAAGCAAAAATCTTATATTTTGTGATAAATACTAATTCCTTTAGTCATCATCTTATACGGGAAATATCCCTAACATTTAGTATTACCTAAAGTGTATATACAGGTTACGTTTAAAGGAACAGTGTGTAGCATTTAGTGGCAGCAAGGACTGGTGGAAGCAGCCAGCTGAAACTTCTCCCTTGTGCCAAGCATGAACCCCCAATTGACCTTTCGCTAAGTCCCGCCCCTTTGTGATGGTCCGACAAGCTGTCGCAGTAAACATGGAGCCCACACTGTAACTAACGGCACTCCCTGAAGAAATATAATCATATTTTTGGAAAAATGAAACAGTGATTCCAGAGAGAAGCAGACAGAGGGGTCTACAGTCTGTGTTTGAAGGATATATCCAGGATGTCAAACTGACTCAGCAGCAACAACAGGTTAAAAAGACAAAGACAGTTAGAAGCTCAAGCCAAACTATAGGCTACAGATCACAGTGTAAAAGTGAACCACCACATCACTGCTGATCACCACACAAGACAATGAATATAAAGGGAAACTTTGCTGATACTGAACCAGCTGTGTGGCATCACAGTGTGTGCAGATGAATGGTGTTTGGCTTCACCCCCGTGCTGCTGCCAGCATCTGGACCTCAGCCGCGGGACAGAAAGGGATCTCCAGGGGAAGTCACGTTCATCTGCGCACACTGCGATGACACACAGCTGGTTGAATATCAGCAAAGTTTCCCTGCTTCCCTTCACTGGTTCCTGTACAGCAGGGTCGGTCTATGTTTCACTGTTATAATCATTAAAAAGCAAAAGCAGCATGTGTATACATTCAGTAGGCTATATCTTCAGTAGCTAGCTAACCCTGCACTTTTCAGGGTCTGATTTTGGTTTTGGAACAGGGAAGAAACGTATATCTTTTTCCAACCTCTCCAGGTAACGAGTATCATTAATACACGACGTGCCCCAGGCACAACATTTAGCTCCAAATCCACAAAACCAGCCTGAAAATGAAGGAAATCTGAAACAACTGCATTAGAGTCAATGGAGCGCAGCTGTGTTGTTGTCGGACCCTGATCTGAGTTTTCCTGATGCTATGTTATAATTGGCCAGTCTGCGTCTGGAGGCGGGACTTAGTGAAAGGTCACTTAGAAATCCCTCAAGTGCTTACCAAGAGCCAAATTACCTGCAGAGATCTCCTTCTCTCCAAAACAAATAGACTCAGCGATTAAAATTGGTAAAAACAGTGAAGAAAATAAGGTAAAGCATAACAGGTCTCCTTTAAATTGTAAATACAATATATCACAAAAAAATGAGTTGTAACCTAGTACCCTTCCTACCTTGGACATTGTGGCTTGCACGTGCTCAGTCTCGGCCTGGGCTTGTAGCAGCTCCTGCCTCAGCTCTGTCAGCTCCACCTCCAGCCTGTCTCTCTCAGCGTGGGCTGTTTTCAGCAAGTTCTGCACTTCACTGCTGTCACCAGCGCTCTGCATGGCCTTCAGCTCACCCACCTTTTGCCTCTCAATGTCCACCTGCGCTTTCAGCCTACTGTTTTCCAGTCTGAGACAGTCTGCTGTTGCCCTCTGCTCCTCTGCAACCTGTGCTGCCTGACCTCCAGCTTCCACCTCCCTGTCCAGCTGGGCCTGCAGTCTGTCCATCTCCTCTTTGATGCAGCGCACCTGGCCCTGCGCCTCCTGGTGCTCCTCCTCCAGAGCCCGCAGGCTGCCTGTCAGCTGCTGCTGGATGTCCACTAGCTTCTCCCGTTCGAAGCGCGAGCTCTCGACCAGCTCGGCATACCTCTGCTCCAGCTCGGCCAGCCGAGGCCCTTGGCTACCCAGCTCCTCCTCCCTCTTGGCCTGAGCTTGTGCTTGCTCCTGAAGTCGGCCAGTGAGTGCTTCATTCTTCTGGGCCAGCACCTCCAGGCGCTCTCTCTGCTGTTGAAGCGAGGTCTGCAGGAGCCGTTTCTCCTCGGCCAGACGCTCATTCTCAGCCGTCAGCTCCTGCACCACTTGCTGCTGGTCAGCCAGCTCCTGCACAGTTGCCTGCAGCTCCTCGGCTGTGCTGTGGTGGCTCTCCTCCATCTTGTGAATCCTTTCGGTCAGGCTCTGCACTGACACATCCTGCCCTCCTGCATTGGTCACTGCCACCGCTGTAACGGCTTCTGCACTAGCACCACTACTCACTGACTCTGAACGCGACGGGATCTTCTCAAACTCTGAGGAGTCGGGTGATGGTGAGTCCTTGGTGATGTCAGAACCAGAGGAGACAGAGGTTTTGAGAGGGCTGGCAGTGGAAGGAAGACTGTCCTGTTGCTGAGTTGAGGAGTTGGAGTCTGAGGGCAGTCCATTCACCAAAGGCTTGGAAGGGCTGCTTGTGTTTGTACTGGAGAGAGGAGAGGCCTCCAAGGAAAGCAGTTTTTCCTTCAGCGCCTGGTTCTCCTCCCTAAGCCCTGCCAGCTCTCTCTGAAACTTCCCATTCTTCTCCCTCAGCTCCCCAACCAGTACAAGGGCCTCCGCCACTTGCTCCTGCTCCCGATCAGCAGCCGGCTCTTGCCATGCGACAGAGTTGGCTGACGGTGAGGAGGGAGCGGTGGAGGCTTTACCTTTGCAGCGCTGCAACTCCATCCTGAGATTGCTGATCTCTAAGTCTTTGGCCTTGGCCTCAGCCAGCAGCTCTTTCACCTGGCACTCCAGAAGGCCCTTTTCCTGGCTTTCTGTGTCTCCACGGGACTTGGTTGAACTACGTGTCTGCTTTGCCAGGGTGGAGAGGCTGGAAGTGCTGGCACTGGAAACCATCCTCTTAGTGGTGGAGCTCCTAAGCTGGTCCCTCAGAGAGATGCGGTCTCTTGTTATGGTGGAAGGGATTTCTCTAGGAGCTGGAATACCAGACTTCTTGGCCGCTTGTGCACCTGCAAAGATGAAGTACAAATGAAACAGTGTTTAAGTACCTAAGTAATCAAATCAGAAATTTTATGTAGTCAATCCACAAAACAGTTGACGAAGCTTTCTAATTTATAACTGTAAAAATTATGTGATAGTTATATAAACACATGTATATATCCTTTAAAAGTCTCATTGAGACTACAAATCTCTTTTTCAAGAATGACCTGGCCAAGATGGCAGCATAAACATCATCACAATAATAAACACAAGCAAACAAGTACAACTGTCACACACAACAAATGAGCATGTACAGCATCCACCTAAAATATAATAAAAAAAATACATAAATGTGCAATTTTCTAACAACGACTTCAGAAAAAAATTAAGGAGCAATCACATTGGCCGAGTGCTTTAATTGTCTTTTGTTCATTTCTCTATTTCAGCTACATAGACGCTTCAGCAGGCTGACTCCAAATTATGAGTCATAAACGCTTCATAAAGTATGAAACTATCAAAATATCCCTTTGATCTAAAAATCTTGAAACCTTGTTGATAAGTATAAATAAAAACCATGACCTACATTCACTACTGAGCAGTAGAAAGGTAGGAAAACACTACATTATTAATCTCTGGTTAGGCTAAAGTAAAAAGGTAATCTGGAAAGTTTACAAAAACAATACAATCATTAAAGGTAAACTTCAATATTTTTGAACATGGGACCCTATGTTTTGTGTCCAAGTGACTAATGGGTGCAACAATTTTTTTTTAAACTGGTCAAGTATTGAGGAAGAGTGCTACAGCCTGCAGCCAAAAAAAAAATAGGGCTGCAATGTAGTCTCTGTAGGTGATTTTTGCAACGTAAACTTTAAGTATCTAACAGAGAAATGAAGCATTTCTGCATATCTTTCGCTGGTGTTTTTGTTATTGTGACCAAGTTTCGCTCAAGGAGAAGTCTCATTCTGAAATCTCGCGAGAGTAACTTGTTGCAGAAAAACAACGGTGGAAATGTTCGTGAGAGTTGTAGAGAGAAGTGTGAAGAGTACAGAAAGCCTAGCTTAGTGTCATCTGAAAGATTTTAGACCAGCGAAAGGTAAAGAAAAACATTTCTCTGTAGGTTCTTTTCCTTAATGTTGTCAGACACTTAAAATAACAACCTGAGCCTGCCAGTGGTAAAAATTAACACTTTTAAGTGGACATAAATTGATGGTACACAATTGCCCATAGGGATTACATTGCAGCCTGTTTCGCTGCCGCGTCTGCAGCTGTCTCTCTCAATACTGGACCAATTTCAAAAATTGTTGTCTGAATCAGTCACTTGGGCTGCTTTCAGACCGAGAGTTGTCTTGCTTTGGTCCAAATCATCTAATTTTGTTACAAAGTTGCATAATTGCCTAGAGTTGGTTCATGTTCTCACGGCAGCATTTACAAGCGGACCAGTTAAAATGCCTTACACATGAAAGCTGCTCTTGATTGGTCAGAATTTCCATGTGGGAAAAATCCAGGAAGTAAACAAAACCTGGATGAAGAGTACACTTGCAAGATAAATGTGACACTTTCTAATGTCACAATGGAGGGACAACTACGCAGGTTGATTTTAGCGCTGGTCATTGTGGACTATATTGCTGTTCATTTTAGTCAAACCATACAGTTTGAAAACGAGGCGCGGCTCCAACTAGAAAACAATGTTTTGATGCATTGGATGTGCTGAATGTGCATATTAAGGCAGTACAGGAGGAGGTGCACATTAATAATCCTCCAGGACTGTAACATGCTCATGTTTAACCCAAACAATGTGTCATGTGACTGCAGTTGGTTCAGATCCAGGTTGGAACACGTTCTCACCACAAACAAACCGCACCAGAGTTTGTTTTAAACCGGACCAAGACCACCTCTTCTAGAAGGTCTTGAAGGTTGTTTTGGTGTGAACCAGAGTGCGACTGCTGTGTTCACACCTGCCCAAATGAACCGCACTGAAGGGGCAAACAAACTTGAGTTCAATTGAACCAAACTAAATGGGGCAGGTGTGAAAGCACCCTTAGACACAAAAACACAGGGAAATAGGGTCCGGCTTTAACAGAATATTCAGAAAGTGTGTTTAGCAAAGTCAATGTGAAATATCACATGAGAAACACACATAATTTTACGATAATAAAAAATGATGATTTAGTTTAATCAAATAAACACAAAGATCCACTTGGACTGCAAATGTGGTGCCAGCGGTGATACAACACAGATTCCAGTTTACAGTCAGGGAATTCTTATGTTTCAGAGATAAAACTTTACTCAGTAAAATAACCATATAGCAGGCTTGACACTGAAAAGGGGAGGTTAATGGAATCAGTGTACAGACATGCCGGGACCATGGATTTGTTAACATCATGTAATGACACTAATTGAATAGACAGTGTGTCACATTCAGACACTTGTATTATTCAGCAGTTTGATGTCGCTGGTCACTGTACCCTATTCACATATTGTTCTCTGTTTGGACAACAGAGCATCTGCCTGGCACTGTCTGTCTGTTACTGTCTGTGGTCATTCATCGCTGCAGCGGAGCTTAACTGTGGCATTTCAAAAGGCATCAGCGTGGGTCGCTGGCACGCGCCAGCCTTTTCCAGACCTCTCTCAAATATGAAGAGTATTTACTGATGCCTGGCGTGAGCAGGGTGCTGCCTGAAAACGTTTTATTGTTTATTTTCCGATCATTCAGCAAACAGCGATAGCAGACATAAGGGGGTTGCTTGTTTCAAAGGATGACAAAGGTCCCTGTGCACGTGGAGCATTCAGGCACAAAGCAGCTTAAGCAGTGCACAGACAAAGACGGCCCTGTGTCTCTCACATGCACACATCATCATCAAACCCACAGAGCAGAGACTAGACAGACAGCCTGTGTGCTGAGATAGACAGCACATCACCCTGAGCAGCACGTGCACACATTTACAGCACACATACACACACACAAAACTCCACAAACAAATGGCCTCGTTTGGAATGGAAATCCTGTGGGTTCTTTAAGTACTCTGCCACTGATAGGCACTTTGCACAGACTATCCCCTTATTGAATAAACTAGTAACTGTGGCAGGAGCTGCCAACACTGGCACAATTTCTGGGGTACAAAGCCGTTTAACATTCCCAGAGTGTGCAGCTGTGGTTGAAAAAGTGAGGTGGGCTTGCTAATTATAACCTAAAATCGTTGAGTAAACACTCGAGGTTCAGATTTTTAAAGAACACCAGGGGCTTAAAGAAAAATGAAGAGTGGCAGAATGACACTTGGCCCTGTCGGTTCTGAACGTCAGTGAGATTAGGTTCTCAGTTAAAAGACTCTCTTTTACTTCTTCCACTCTGCTAGGATGCTGGTGTCCTCAGCTGACATTACTGTCTTTCAGAGGCTGTAGCAGGCTGAGTTTTAACACTCAACAGTTAGGATAAAGTTTGATGAGGGAACAACTAGCATTGTCCCAGAGGTCCCTTGACCTCTCACCTGAAGATATGTCAATGAAAAGCCCATCTGTATTCATATGTGATGATGTTAGGCCCTACAGAGGCTGTTTCACTCTAGTAAGGCCATTTTCAATAAAACTTTACCTCACTGTATTCTCTTAAGCATGCAGAGGATGTATGGATTTCATGGATATATTAACAATAAGGGGGTGTCTCAGCTGTTTCCAGAAAAGACATACTTGCCTTCCAGTCGCGAAAAAATGCAATTCTTTAACAGAAATCTGTCAAAAGTTTTTGATACGAGGGCGGCCTCTAGCTCAGCCAGTACAGTGTCCACCCCACGTAGGCTGAGTCTTTTGCAGTGGCCTGGGTTTAATCCCAGCCTGCGGCCCTTTGCTGCGTGTCATCCTCATTCTCTCTTCCCCTTTCCTGTCACTCTCTGGCTACACAGTAATAAAGGCAACAAGAGCCCAAAAAATAATCTTTAAAAAAAAATTTTTGATAGCAAATTACAGCATGGATTTTTCTGTGGTGTTCCTTAAGATTTTGGCGTCTTAATGTGCTATTTTCAAGGGTTTTTTCCTATAATTTTTGACCATTTTTATCAATTCTCAAGTTGTCAAAAATGCTTAAATTTAGCATGGAAAAGCCATCATATACTACCATCCCAATCTTCTAAGCCCCTACAGGATGGAAGACAATGTCTGCTTCCAATAACGTCTAGTTAGACAACCTATGCATCACATACAAGAAATTAAACAGAGCTGAGACAACCGTGCCTTAGTTAGATTTTAGCCACATAAAAATAATCTATGTTAGTTCAAATGTATGCTATATTTTGATTATTTTCAAGGCTTTATCTTGCAATCAGACAGCCTTTTCCAATTGGGAACTGAGGCCGTTACCTCAAAGCCACTATTAATTTCTCTTTGCAGAATGAGGAAGCTGCTGCTCTACAGCTACCTCAGTTGGCTATAGTGTGTAAGGTAAAGCGCTTAACATATTGCAGATATAGCATGAACTGAATTTAATGTTTTTTAGTGGCTAAAATTTGTTTGCAGTGCCCCCTGTCCACAGCAACACATTGCTTAGCCTCCAAGCTGGTAGATTTGGTTTATCAAGGATGCTAACAGAGCAATACTGTACATAAAATAAGCAAAACACAGATGTCAGATAGGTCAGACCACCATGTTTAACTATAGATCTGTAAATGTTACAGTTTTGACTAAAAATGACAACGGAAAAGAACAAGTTCAAATCAACTTCCACTTGTCTGGGGCGTCAGTAGCTTAGTGGATAGTGCCAGCGCCTCATGTATAGAGGTGATGCCTCGCTGCAGCGGTCGCGAGTTCAACTCCGGCTTGTAACCCTTTGCTGCATGTCATCCCCCACTCTCTCTGTCTCCCCATTTCACACTGTCCAGTACATTAAAGGCAAAAAGCCCCAGAAAATAAAAGAAAAAAAAACCAAAAAACTTCCAGTTGTTTGCCCGGAAGTGTTTCCTGTTATATTGAGTCAGTCTGTACATTATAAAATTTCAAAGGTTGAGAAGGCACCTAGCCAAAACCCATTTATTACAAAACT